CAGCACTATTTACAATAGCCAAGAATTGGAAGCAACCTAAATGTCCATCAGTAGATGAATGGATAAAGAAGATGTGGTACATATACACAATGGAATACTACTCATCCATAAGAAGAGGGAAAATCTTACCATTTGCAGCAACATGGATGGATCTGGAGGGTATTATGCTCAGTGAAATAAGCCAAGCGGAGAAAGAGAAATACCAAATGATTTCACTCATCTGAGGAGTATAAGAACAAAGGAAAAACTGAAGGAACAAAACAGCAGCAGAATTACAGAACCCAAGAATGGACTAACAGTTACCAAAGGGAAAGAGACTGGGGAGAATGGGAGGGTAGGGAGGGATAAGGGCAGAGAAGAAGAAAGGGGGTATTATGATTTGCATGCATAATGTGGAGGGTGGGAAAAAGGGGAGGGCTGTGCAACACAGAGAAGACAAGTAGTGATTCTACAACATCTTACTATGCTGATGGACAGTGACGGTAATGGGGTTTTTGGGGGGAACTTGGTATAGGGGAGAGCCTAGTAAACGTAATGTTCTTCATGTAATTGTAGGTTTATGATAATAAAATTTTAAAAATTAAATTTAAAAAAAAGAGAAGGGCTGTGTCAACTATGGTCTGGCTACATGGTGATACAGTCTGCAGCCACTAAAACCATGAAGCCCTACTAACTATGAGAGGGAAGCTACAGCATACAATGAGTAAATAAAAAGTTAAAATACAAAATGATAGTATAGTAATTAGAATGATATAAACAAAAGGTATAACTGTGGACACAAAAGGAAGCTGGTTGACTTAGAAGAATATTTTTGTTTCCCTTCCTTACTATGGTGGTAAAAAAATACATTAATATACATCCATTTGTTTACCATTTGTAAGTGTATAATTCAGTAGCATTAAATACACAATGTATTTAATGGTTTTCCACCATTATCTATACCCAAAACATTTCATCATCCCCAACATATACTGTTCTCATTAAGCTACTCCCAGTTCCTCCTTCCCTGTATCCCTGATAACCTCTGTTCTACCTTTTATCTCTACAAATTTGTCTGTTCTAGGTCCCTCATATAAGTGGAATCACACAATATTTATCCTACTGTATCTGGTTTGTTTCACTTATAGTGTTTACCAAAGCCCATACATGTTGTAGCAAATATCAGAATTTCATTCCTTTTTATGGATGAGTAATATTCTATTGTATGTACCACATTTCATCTACCCATGCATCTGTCAATGGACACCTGGTTGCTTCCACCTTGTGGCTATTGAGAATCATGTGACCATGAACACTGGTACACAGACAACTGTTCAAGTCCCTGCTGTCAATTCTTTTGGAAATACACACATGTAGCAATGGAACTGCTGGGGCCTATTTGTTTTCCTTTTTCAAAACTGCCTTTAATGCTGTTACGTTAATTTTCCCCAATAATAAGTAAAGTTCAGTAACAGGATAGTGATCCCCTAAGCATCTAGTGCCTTACTGCAACTCTTCTTGATTTCCATTCAATGGAACCCAGTTATAGGCTGTGACACAAGAAATGCCTTCTCCTCCCAAATAAACCCAAATTACTTTGCAGCTGCACCATAACAAAATGCCAGTTCATACTGTGGTTAAGACCTCAGTCTTCAAAGCCAGAGGCCAGTTGTTTAAACTCTCAGAGTCTCCATTTCCTGCTCTAGACAACAGAAATAGTAATAGTACCTACCTCATGACATAATGTTAAGATTTTTTTTAAATGGGCTGAGAGTCCAGCACTTTATAGACACCTAATATATTATATTACTATTACATTAAGTTCTGGGGATTGACAAGTCACACAGTATCAAGGGTCCCTTACAGTAGTAATCCTCTTACCATTATCTACATTCTCAAAAAGAAAAAAATGCATGTTGATAATGTAGAAATATGATAGTTATGTAAATATATTATACATTCATATAAATATATTATATATTCACATAAATATATTAAATTTATGACAATAAAGCAATACATGTTAGTAATAAGATCCCCTCTCAACAGTCGAATCTAAAATTCATACTTCATAAGGACTTACTACATTTCATCTGATGGATGTATTTTAGCAATTCCCTTATTTTGGAAGCAGATCTAAGTAATTATCAATGGTTAACCCAATTAACAGTTGAAGAAACCTACACAAGAAGAATCAAAAGCCCAACTGATTTCACGTGTGGCTCCAGAAATCAGTTTCTCTTCTCCTTATTCTTCCCTTCTGTATAAAGGACTTTATTATGCAATCAAAGATCAAGAAGTATTGTATGTTTTGCAAGCTTTCCAACGAATTTTATTTCAAATTTGAAAAACAACAGTAGTGAACGTTAAATTGTTTTCATGAAGTACTTTTATCAATATCAATTAGCCTTATAGAATAAACAAAACTAATGCATCAGGATGTTTTTTTATGAAAGACTATAAATAATCTACCTGTCTAACAATAGGAGAGTATTTAAATAATTCACAACACATTCAATCAAAGTGGTTCTTAAGTTTTTAGGCCTTAAGACCCCTTCACCTTCCTAAAAATTATTAAGACTCTCAGAAAATTTTTGCTCATGTGGGTTATATTTATATTTACTGTTATTAAAAAAAAAGTGGGAAATTTTTAAAACATAAGAATACACAAGCATACATTCTATTTGCCATCAGAGAACAATGTCATCCCATGTCATACAGTATCATAAAGACTCTACTGTACACTCATCATGAGAGAATTAGAGTGAAAAAGCCAATAATGTAGGACCCCAACCTCCCTGAGAAATAAGTTAGCCTAAGAGTAGCCATCTTGAAGCCCAAAAAGCCATTCTGATATATGACTCAGAGGGAACAACTGAAACCAGGTAACTCCTCTGGAAAAACAAGTTAATCAATCATGACTGCTGGCAGCGCTAACCTCTCAGTTAGTTAATCATAAATGCCGACCCTACCTTGCTACACCCCCAGGACGTGGCACTAACCCAGAAATCGTAGGTTTGAAAAATTACTGCCTTTGTAGTATTGTTATCTTGCTATGTAGTATTGTTATCTTGTTATTACAAAACAATCTGTAACCATGGTAATCCTCTAGGGCTGAATGCCTCAGAAAATCCTATATAACCACTTAGTTGTAAGTGCTCAGGGTCCTCGTTGAGACCTGCTGCGACGGGCTGACTTGGACCCCAACTAGTTGGCTTCTGAATAAATTCCTCTTGCTTGTTGCATCAAGAAACGTCTTTGGTGAGTGATTTGGGGCGGCGCCTTCCTCAGGGGAATCCAACAATAACATTTCACTATTCTTATGCTAGTAATAGCTCACAGATCACTTGAAAGAATTAGGAGACTCCCAGAGATCCCTGGATCATACTTTGAGAACCACTGATCTGGCCCAGGGATCAGCAATCTTTTTCTGTAAGAGCCACAAAATAAATACTTTAGGCTTTGCAAGCCATATATTCTCTGTTGCAATTACTCATTTTTAGCACAAAAGAAGCCAAAGGTTGCATATAAACAAATAAGCATGGTTGTGTTCCAATAATACTTTATTTACAAAAACAAGCAGTAGGCTAGATTTTTTCCTATGGACTATTATTATCTGCTGACCCCTGATTGAGACAATGGAATGTGAGGCAGGTAGTACTATTATCTTGTAGAAATGTTCATACTGAAAGGGAAGAATATTTATAATTAAACTGGTAATAAATTAGAAAGTGGAAACAGAACATAATAAAAACACATTTACAGGATGACTTCAATGTGTCTAAAAGAATGTATGCATGCATGTGTGTGTATATGTATACATATGCATATGTGCATGTGTGAAATTGTAAAACATTTCTAGACCAAAAATTATCAGTGATTATCTCTGGTTCATGGTTTACATGTGATTTTTTTTCTTCTCATTAATTTGTATTTTATAAAATGTATATGCATTACTGTCATTATAAATTTTCTTAAAAGATTTTTCTTAGATAATTAAAAGAAAAGCAATCTTTGGAAGACCTGACATTTATAAGCTCCACTCATTTTCTTTAAGAAACATGACTGTTTCACAGAAGACACTGTTTACCTGTTCTACCGCCAACTGTCTGGGAAGCCCCTTCAGTCCCATTAGGTCCTTGTGGAACTATTTCAAAAACATAGCTGGTTGCAGGCTGCAGACCATTAATGACAATACTTAGGTTGGTAGTTGTGTTTACTGGAGTTTCTCCACATGGGGTGATACATATCTTAAAGGAAACTGAGTCATTGCTGCTCCAAGCTAAGCCAATTTCCCTTATGCTGACACTTGTCACTCGAAAGTCAGAAACTGGAGTAGGACCTGCAGGAAGAAAGTAAATGACTAGATTAAGAATCTATTTCTCCAGAAAACAAGGGTGCCTGAACCTCACAAATACTTATACAAATTAAAGGCACATTTGGGACACCTGACCTCTTTTTTACCCTTCTTTGTATTATCACCTACAACACAAGCCCCTCAGAAACTGGCATTTCTGTCCATTGATAGAACACCTGACTACAAGAGTGCAGAAATGCGTGCTTAGGTTGTACGAAGTCACTCACGGGAATGAGAGGAGGCATAAACCCTAAGTGGGCAGGGGCTCAAGTTCTGGAGGAAGACCTTGGCAACTGCTGGTTGCTTTATTTTCAATACATCATAAACCTCCCAGAGCCTCTGTTTAGGGAGGTGCAACAGAGGCTACAGTTGACCCCCAAAATCCATTCCCCCTTTTTCCTTAGTCATACACTCCTGTGGAGTAAAGACTACATTTCCCAGCCTCCCCTGCAGCTAGATTAGACATGCAAATAATTTCTGACGATGAGATGTGAGCAGAAGTGCTATGTAGCTTCCAGTAAGTATCCCTAAAGCATGGAACACTACTTCTGCCCTTCTTCCTTTCTGTAGCTGGAGTATAGATGTGATGACTGGAGCTCAAGCTGCCTAGCTCTTGAAACAATATTGTGGCTGTGGTGGTAGCTATGACCTCTGGATCCCAGGACTGCAGTGCAGAACATGCATTCCTGGAGCCAACAATAGCCAGGGCTGCTGTCGGACCAAGCTGGTGGCGCCCCCGTGGGGAGTTCGACACCCTCAACAGTTATTAGTTAACTGTATCCCCTCAAAATTCGTATGTTGAAGTCCTAATCCCCAGTGCCCCAGGATGTAACTGTTATTTGCAGACAGTGTCTTTAAAGAGGTAATTAAGGTAAAATGAGGTGATTAAAGTGGGCCCTGATCCCATGTCTGGAGTCCCTATCAGAAGAGGAGATAAATTCACAGACTTGCACAGACCAAAGGGCAACCATGTGAAGATACAAAGAGGAGACTGCCATCTACAGGCCAAGGAGGGAGGCCTCAGAAGAAACTGACCCTGCATCCCTTCATCTCAGGCTTCTCAACTCCAGAAGTGTGAGAAAATAAATATCCACTAAGCCTCCCAGTCTGTGGTACTTGTCATGGCAGCCAGAGCAAACTAACGCACCAGCCCTTCCAAAGGTTCTGTGGATCCTCGATTCCCAGGACGAAATGAAATACCTCATAGCTTCTGTTTGCTACCACAGAGCCCTGACTGATACTATACCATCCATCCTGCCTAGTGCTGGGCCTCTTACAATGACAGAGAAACTCCTGTCTTCTTTAAGCCATTAATACTTGGGGAGTTTTTGTTACTCACAGATGAACCTAATCCTAACTAATAGATTAAACAGTTAAAAAAGTAATCCTGCCATTTGGGACAACATGGATGAACCTAGAGGGTATTATGCTCAGTAAAATAAGCCAGGCAGAGAAAGATAATAAACAACATATGATTTCATTTACACGTGGAATCTAAAAAAAAAAAAAAACACCAAAATAAACAAACATCAACAGACTCATAGACACTGAGAAGTGACTGGTGGTTACCATGGAGTGAGGCTGGGATGGGTGGGTAACACAGGTGAAGGGGATAAAGAGACACAAAATCACAATCATAATATAAATTATTCACAGGGATGAAAGGACAGCATAGAGAATATAGTCACTAGTTCTGTAACATCTTTGTTATGTTGACAGAATAGTAACTACACTACTTGGGGTGAGCATTTAATAATGTAGATAACTGTCAAATCACTATGCACCCTGTAATGGTCATAATTTATCTATGAAAGGAGGGACAACAGTAGGGACAACTGTCAAATGTTGTATACTTGAAACCAATATAACACTGTATATCAACTATACTTAAATTTTTTTTTTAAAGTTGTATATTCTTTTCTGCATGACACTTGCTTTCAACTTCCTGGAGAGAAAACCCCAGAACATACAGCAAGATCTCCATCTCATTCTCAAGATTTTACATTTTTTGTCAAGATCCAGAGAAAAAAAAATTTTTTTTTACTTCTAACAATACCATAGATGTAAACAAAACAAATTTTTTTACAGTGTCCTTTGGGGAGATTTTAATAAATCTCTTAGTTAAAATAAACTTGAAAAATGTATAGAAAAAGAGAACAAATAATGAAAAGGTCCTTAATTGGAGTAGTTATGTCATCAACAAATATCTAGGTTTCTGCTGTTGTCCCTCCTTTCATAGATAAATTATGACCTAGTTACAGGATGCATGTCATTTCTTAGTAAGGGCTGTAGCCTCACTCAGCATTTTTATAGCTGTTAACAAAATTAAAAAGTGACGAAGTGACAGCAGATTCCATTAACCCCAGAAGGCCAGCCCAGGAGACATTCGTAAGGAAGCCTATAATATGCTTCGCCGGAAGCAACACCAACTTGAGTAAAGCATTCTTGCGGAATGAGCCCTGGGTCTGGAGCCAGCACCCTAGGTTCACATCCTGGCTCTGCTGCTCACTAGCTCTGTGGCCTGAGGCAAACTGTTCAGTCATGCTTGGCTGCAGTTTTCTCACCTGTGCCACAGGGATCCTAATACCTACCATGAAGGCAGCTGCAATACTCGTAAAGCTCCCAGTCCAGTGGGGTACCGATGCTAGTCCACTACTACACTGCTGGTACACCATTCTTGTTTTACCTCCAATTACCGGAGAGAAACCTTTTTATTTGCTGCCTATCATTTTATCTTTAAGGGACAACAAAGCAAAGGAAGGATGAGATACAGCTGTGCCCTGCTTCATTATAACGTTGGCACCCAAAGGGCAAAGGGAGAGGAGCAGCCAGGTCCTTCTGTCTCTGCATATCAGTTTATTTTAGGCTCTGTCACACTGGAATGGTTGTTATAAGCACCGGCTGGAGTTCAGACAGACCAGATAGCTAAGCTCACCTCTCTCACTTACCAGCTGTGACACCTGCCTAAGGCACACCTCTCTTAGTCCTGGCTTCCCCATCCATAAAGTAAGGCTAATACCCACCATGTCACAGACTTGAGAACATTAAACAGGACAGCACAAAGAACGCAGGTTGCATGAAGCTCAACACGTGCGTAGGGCCGGCCAGTGATCCCTGTTATTATAGGGCATGTGCTGAAGGGGCCACAGTCCCTGTGGACCCACCACTGAGCTGTGCTTTCCTTGATGGCAGGAACAGGGCTCTGTGTACCTGAGCCTGGCACACAGCAGGAGGAGACAGGGGTCAGCAAAACAATGAGCAAACTCACGGGTGTACACTTGTAGAAACTCCGGCATGCCCCCTGAACCACTGACAAGGAAAGGATACACTGTGATGTTATATAAGGTACTCGACGTGAGGGAAGAGATGATGGCATGGGTGTCACTGACGTTGAAATCGAGGATGGAGTCCTTGCTGGTGACCTGAATGTTGTAGATATAGACACAGGACTTATTACTGTCCATTTTCCAGGACAGGGCCATGATGGTGGCACTGATGTTCACGACTTTAAGGTCAAAAGTCTGACTGGAATCTGTGATGACACAAGAATGGCCACATCAGAGAGAGAGGAAGCTGTCATCAGGGCACATCATCTGATCCAAGAAACACATTCAGAGTGTTCCTTCCTGTTGTACACCATTTAACCACAACCACAACATACACCAATGTGGGGGGTGCCCAGCAAAAGTCAGAAATCATCTTCAGTGAAGAAACAGCCTGGCCAGTTGGAACTGCATAGGTACTTTTGTTCTTGTGTGTTGCCTCTTATGGACAGGATGGACTTCTCAAATAATATGGACTCCACATGCCTTGCCCTAAGTGCTGTGTGACCCAGAAAAGTTCTCAAGCATAAATCACACAAGAATAAACACTACACTATACATGATCAATTAAAGATCACAGACTTTAGCATGAGATGGGGCTCAATTCCAGGGTCAGTTCTGCTTTAATAGCCAGGTGGATCTAAGGAAAATCACTTGAGCTCCAATTCCTCATCTATAAAATCAAAATAACAATCCTAACCTCAAGGAAAGATAATACAAGAGTGCCTGTATTTTGCACTTGTCCACCCCACCCTCCCGACCCATCCTCTCTGCCTGCTCTGGGCCCTGGAAGGCTGACCCCCGCACACTGCATTGTTGGGTTCGGGAGAGGGCAGGGGGCACTCTGCCAGATGGCCTGGGGTCACGTTCCACCAACCAGCAATATGGGCAAGCTACTTGGAGGCTGGGGAGAAAGCTATTGGAGTCTTTCTCCCCACAGTCTCATCAGCACCAATCCAAAAAGCCTCCAAATACCAGTCAATTTACAGAGTGGGAATGCTAATAACTTTTGGGTAAAAAGCATCAATGTGCATGTCAACAAATTTCAATAGGAAGATGAGTATACACTCCAAGGTCAGGTCAAAAAAGGAAACTCATTTTTCATCTCAAAGGGAAAATACTTAACTAACATCAACAAAATGAAATCTATTTACAGGAGAAAAATATCACACCAGTTTGTCTCACTGGCTAGTACGCAGAGATATCAAAGAAAGACATGAAGTAGCAGTGCCTAGAATCTGCACACAGTAGCTGCTCAGTATGTTTTACTGAGCTGGAAGATTCCTGGCCCCAGAGTTAGGAAGAAATTCACTGGATCTGCTCAGTCCAAAATCTCTTCCAGAAAATTACCTCTGACAACAAAACCACTTGTGAAGCAAGAGAGAACCAGAATCACAGAAGATGAAACTTTGTGCTAGAAAATTGTGACGGAAATTATTTTACAAAATTTAACATACTTGTGCTGAAATCTATGCACTGGGGCTGTCCTTCTGTGCCATCTGCTGCTTGAGAATGAACAGGTGCCTTGTTCGGTGCATGAGACGTTAACCCAAAATCCAGGACTTGTGTGTGGAAAGTCAGAGGCCTGTCAGAGGGCGGGTCTGTATGATGGAGAGGGTACGCAGGAGCAGTGGGGCTCCCAGGTGGCTGAGTGAAGGTCTCTGTGTTGTTAGCATCTGTTTCAAATATCAAAGGAAAGACATTAACTGCAACAGAACCATGTCCCCTCTTCTTTCAGCGTCTCTGCCCTCCTCCATAGGATAACAGATACATCAGATATTACCCACAGTTAGTACTCCACAAATCTCTCTCCCCTTACTCCCCCACAGAGATACACCGCCTCCTGAAAAGACCCTGACATCGGGTAGATATTTCACTTTCTTGGTTTTGTCCCAGGTACTCTTCCAAGCTTAGCTATTTGTATCTCTCCCCATTCTTTCAAGAAATCATCTTCTCCCACCCAGCTGCAAATGTGGCTAGGGACAACCACATGATTCAAACTTGGCCCATCAGAGCCCACTCTCAAGGAATCTCTCCCCCCAGACAGGAACCCTGCTGACAGGGAGTGTAACAGGAGAATGGCCCAGTGGCCATTTCTCCTGAAGTTGTGTAAAGGAAGCCAGTTCAAGAACAAAGCTGATAAAAAGAAAGAAGCAGGGAGAAGAGAGGAAAGTCATCTCATCTCTCTTCAAGGCCTTGCTGCCCATAGCAGAGGAATAAACATGAGCTAGTAAGTTGCTCAATTAAGCTATTCAATGTCTAGTTTCTGTCTCTTGTGATCAAGAATCCTAACACCCATTTTATAGTTCTCTTTCCTTATGTGTAAAACGGGGATTGAGAGCTTGTTCTCAATTCACAGGGTCACCCCTGAAAATGTTTTGAAATCTGCAAATGACTAGTCCATTGTCAGTGTGGAAGTCACCTGCCAGATTTGCCTGCTCAGCGTCCCTTTTCTCAATGGTTGTAGTATGTTCCTCCAGTGGCCCTACTTGGATTAACATCTGTTATTTGTTCAACCAAACTTAGAAGTAGCTAAAGGGGCCAGCATCTTTCTGAGATGACAGACTGCAAAGAATTTGCACCCCCACTGCTATTCTGAGCCCCACTGCGCTGACATGTGAAATTTTTCCTTCCTTCTTCATTTTTTCTGTAGTTGCGAGGTCACACTAAAATTGGAGAAGCCCTCTATAAATTCTAAAACTCAAATACAACAACAAATATAATAGCAGTATTTTTTCAATATATTAAGTTACTGAGAAAAAAAGCAAAGCATACTTCTGTAACTCACCTAAGCCACTTTCTGTAGCCAGGGGATCTCTGTGGTTCTCATATGATTCTAAAAGATACAGGGTGATGTTATGTTGAATCCCTGGCTTCAGGTCTGAAATGTTAGCTGTTAAGTCTTGAGTCAACTCCTCGCAGCTTCTAATGCTTTCAAGAAGTATCTGGCAGGTGACAGTGCCATTTTCACTTTTCCAGATAAGAGCAACTTGCATCACACCCACAAAGGCAAGACGAAGACCAGAAATTGGATGAGGTTCTATTTTAAAAACATACAATGGGAATTGATGGAGCGAGATATCTGTAGTCACTTTTCATTAAGAATGACCAGGATCATTGATGTTTCAATTGACCTACTGAAAACAATTCCTTTTTATTAGAGTCCAGTCCAGTGCCATTCTATCATTGCACAGAAGGAAAAATATATATACTATTATGCAAAAAAGAGAAGAGAATATACCTTAAAGCCACAGTTTTTTAGGATCTGTACTATTCTCCTGGACAGGTAAGTCCAACGGTGATTTAACACTCTTGTAAACTGGCTCTTTTAAACAGTAGCATTTAATTACATTTGTTTAAACATGAGAAATGGGGTATTATATAAAGCAATTTTTTGCTATGTCTAATGGTCTTGATTCAAGATAATACAAATAATACCATTTCCTAGTACCATGTTATTTCAGCTGAAGAAATCATCCCTGTATTCCAAACCCAAGAGGATATTTCAGAAGACTTCCAATCTATACCCTCCCTCATGCCATTCTTTCCATCACTTTATTTGTCTGGTGGCAACATAAATCAAACCATTTCAGCCAAAATGACATCCACTCCCTACATTCTTTAGATAAGAACATGAAACACAGAGAGGCACGGCAGCGTGCTCAAAAGCACAGCTTACTGGTAGCATGAGGAAACTGGAACTCAGGGCTCCAGCTTTAACCACATAAAAGCATAAACAGTGCTACAGATGGAGCCAAAACAGTGCCTGCAGTCTGCAGGCAAGTGGCTGAACTGGAACACACTGCTGAAGGTGTCCGTAGGAACTGTCCAGCTCTGAAGCAAGCTAATCCACTCTATGATTCTATTCTCCCATCAAGTTTTCCTGATGCAAAGACTTCTAACTTGGGTCACACATGTCCTTTTTTTTTTAAGAAATGTAACACCTGAGGGGATTATGATCCCCAACGTCAAGCTCTACTGCAAAGCCACAGTAATCGTGGCAATTTGGTACTGGCACAAGAACAGACCCGTAGATCAATGGAACAGAATAGAAAGCCCAGACATAAACCCACACATATATGGCCAATTAATATACAATAAAGAAGCCACGGGAGACAGTTACATATCTTAATAGAAAATATCTAAAGCATTTTTTAAAGTACTTAGATTGTCATGCATATGTGCATACTCTACAGCTTTTATTGTCTTGTCTCTTGTCAGTAGACCTTCAGTATACAGTATGATGGGGTTTGCCAGTCAGGTTAGTCAGCACCAGCATCTGTCCAGCTGTTAGGTATATTACGATTCATTTAAAATCTGTTCTATCCCAACTATAGGCCAACGTGCTGTATCCGAGGTATGTGCTGTAATTTGATTTATGTACACTAGAGCACACTGTAGAAAAATCTTAGCTTCATTAGTAATATGACACATGTATATAGTGAGATGTCTTTATTGTGTGCTTTGCATATTTTGCAAATATGCATGTCATTATTTTTCTTCTTTGTTTAAGCAGTGTTTGGCCTTGAAGAGTGATATGCTTGCTGCTTAATCAAAGGATTAAAAAGTCAAAGATGAAAATATACATATGCATACGATAAAGCAGCCATGGACATACAATGGGGAAATGACAGCCTCTTCAATAGCTGGTGTTGGCAAAACTGGACCACTACATGCAAGAGAATGAAACTAGACTATTGCCTAACCCCATACACAAAAGTAAACTCAAAATGGATCAAAGGCTTGAATGTAAGTCATGAAACCATAAAACTCATAGAAAAACATAGGCAAAAATCACTTGAATATAAACATGAGCAACTTTTTCCTGAACGCATCTCCTTGGGCAAGGGAAACAAAAGCAAAAATGAACAAATGGGACTACATCATGCTAAAAAGCTTCTGTACAGCAAACGACACCATCAGTAGAACAAAAAGGCATCCTACAGCATGGGAGAATATATTTGTAATGACATGCCAGACAAGGGGTTAACATCCAAAATACATAAAGAACTCATATGCCTCAACAACCAAAAAGCAAATAACACCATTAAAAAATGGGCGGAGATCATCAGAGAAATGCAAATTAAAACCACAATGAGATATCACCTCACACCAGTAAGGATTGCCACCATCCAATAGACAAACAACAACAAATGTTGGTGAGGATGTGGAGAAGAAAGGGGAACCCTCCTACACTGCTAGTGGGAATGTAAATTAGTTCAACCATTGTGGAAAGCAGTATGGAGGTTCCTCAAAAATCTCAAAATAGAAATACCATTTGACCCAAGAATTCCACTCCTAGGAATTTACCCTAATAATGCAGCAGCCCAGTTTGAAAAAGACATATGCACCCCTATGTTTATCGCAGCACAATTTACAATAACCAAGAAATGGAAGCAACCTAAGTGTCCATCAGTAGATGAATGGATAAAGAAGATGGGGTACATATACACAATGGAATATTATTCAGCCATAAGAAGAAAACAAATCCTACCATTTGCAACAACATGGATGAGCTAGACGGTATTATGCTCAGTGAAATAAGCCAGGTGGAGAAAGACAAATACCAAATGATTTCACTAATCTGTGGAGTATAAGAACAAAAAAAAAAAACTGAAGGAACAAATCAGTAACAGACTCTCAGAACCCAAGAATGGGCTGACAGTTACCAAAGGGAAAGGGACTGGGGAGGATGGGTGGGAAGGGAGGGACAAGGTGGAAAAAGACGCATTACGATTAGCAGACATAATGTAGCGGTGGGGGGCATGGGGAGGGCTGTACAACACAAAGAAGACAAGTAGTGATTCTACAGCATCTTACTATGCTGATGGACAGTGATTGTAATGGGGTATGTGGGGGGGGACTTGATGGGGGGAGTCTAGTAAACAATGTTCATGTAATTATAAATTAATGATACCAAAATAAAATAATAAAATAAAATAAAATAAATGGGCAGAGGATATGAACAGATAATTCTCTAAAGAAGAAATTCAGATGGCCAACAGGCACATGAAAAGATGCTCCACATCACTAATCATCAGGGAAATGCAAATTAAAACCACAATGAAATATCATCTCACACCAGTTAGGATGGCCAAATTCAAAAAGAGAAACAGCAACAAATGTTGGTGAGGATGAGGAGAAAGGGGAACCCTCCTACACTGCTGTTGGGAATGAAAACTAGTTCAACTATTGTGAAAGCAATAGGGAGGTTCCTCAAAAAACTAAAAATAGAAATACCATTTGACCCAGCAATTCCACTTCAAGGAATTTGCCCAAAGAAAACAACTTCTCAGATTGAAAAAGGCATATGCACCCCTATGTTTATCGCAACACTATTTACAATAGCCAAGATATGAAAGCAACCTAAATGTCCCTCGGTAGATGAATGGATAAAGAAGAGGTGGTACATATACACAACGGAATACTATTCAGCCATAAGAAAGGAACAAAGCCTACCATTTGCAACAACATGGATGGAGCTGGAAGATATTATGCTCAGTGTAATAAGCCAGGCAGAGAAAGACAAGTACCAAATGATTTCCCTCATTTATGGAGTATAACAACAAAGCAGAACTGAAGGAACAAAACAGCAGCAGACTCACAGACTCCAAGAAGAGACTAGCAGTTACCAAAGGGGAGGGGTAGGGGAGGGTAGGGGAGGGTTGGTTGGGAGGGAGGGAGGGAGGGAGAAGGGGAGTGAGGGGTATTATGATTGGCACACACAGTGTGTGTGGGGTCACGGGAAGACAGTATAGCACAGAAGAGACAAGTAGTGACTCTTGGCATCTTACTACAGTGATGGACAGTGACTGCAGAGGGGTATGGGGGGGGACTCAATAATGGGAGGAATGTAATAACCACAATGTTTTTCATATGAAACCTTCATAAGAGTATATATCAATGATACCTTAATAAAAAAAAGAAAGAAAGAAAGAAAGGAATGTAACACCAAGGAAGTAGCAGCTCAGTGACTCTGGGTAACTGTTATGAACATCAGGCTACCTGGGTTCCCACCCCTCAATGCTCAGTAACTCAGGGCTCTCAGAAGAAACAGTTCTCAGCATTACTGTTTCTTCCACTGGTGCTCACCAGGTTACTGTGAGGGCAAAAGAATGTATTAAGAACAACTTAACACATAGTATTTGCCCAATAAACAGTAGCTGATGAACACAGCCTCATCCTCAGGGGCTTTAAGGTAGAGTAAGGATAATCAGCTCCGGGGCTGGATGCTTCCTGCCACCTCTCACCCCCTCTTTCCTATGCTCATCAATTCTGCATTGCCTTGTTCCCATCACAGTTTCTAAATTTTGTCTTCTTTTTCCTCCTTAATTTTCTTCTATCTTCTCTCTACCCTTTCTTTTTCCTCTTTCACAATACAATGAACCTTTACTGTGGGGCTTTTCCCCTCCAGAACTGTAGTCTGGGGAGCTCCCAGAGTTTCTGGAAGGTACTGTGACACCCCATTCCTATAGGTCCTCTCTTTACAGTTCTTTTTATTTTTTGGGCTTCTAAACAAAAGTCTGTATAAAGAATAGTATCCTGGCTTGAAAAAAATAGCTGAAAACTAGTTTTATGTTTGCCTACTCCCCATGCAGAAGGCACTATGCCAGGCAGTCACTCAGAGCTCTGAGAGGTCAGGTTCCACGGCCTTCACCAGCCCGTGTGATCATACACCCGGACCAGACTACCAATGGAACACCTCTTTTTAAATGTTTGGGTCTTCTCAGCTTAAAAGAGCTTCTCATGTCTTGTATATATTTTTGATTCTTTTCAGCTTAAAAAAAAGTTAAATCTGCAGCTTTAACAGGTGGCTCATGGTATTCACATCTAAACTAAATAAAAATCCAAGCTTAATTGAATGTTACTGGGCTCTAACTTCATTTAAAACACACACTTCTCTATAAAGTATGCCAACCTTTCGTGCCCAACAGAAACTCTTGGGAATACAAATACAACATCAGCTTTCCTGGGGAGCTTAAAAGAAGCCTAGTAGTTACTGACACCATCAAACTGATACCACATTTCTAATTTTAGCAGAATAGTATTGACCAATAATGACAAAAGACTTTTAAAACTGGACAGTTGGAAGTAATTAGAACATCCCAAAACATGCAGGACCTTAACACTGAATTATCTGGCCACCTAAACTCCAGGGTTTGAAAAAAGATAAAATATCTTCTTCCCTTCCCCAGTCAATGAAAACCAGTCTCTTTCCAACAGGCAACTTGAATTGACAAGGCTCTAAGATGCAGGATGAGAAGGCATAGTTCGTGAGCATGTCTGGGCACTAGCCATCTTACCTGTGGTGTCTCCTGTGCTGGCAGAGTCTCCCTGAGCCCTAAGGGCTGCTCCTGCAGTGACAGCAAACGTGGATGGAGTCGCTGGACGTAAGCCCATGTTACCTACTGTCTGATTTTCAACAAACCTCATCTGCCCATTTTCCATCTCTCTCTCTACTCGATGTGTGGACTCAGAAGTAGCTGTGCCCATGTTTTCCCACACGGGGGCCGCACTGACGGAAACAGCTGCAAAATCAGACACAAGACAGGGCTCTATTTTAATACTTTCCCAAAAAAAGGAAAGAAATCATATTTTGAAAAGAAATATAAGAGTAAGGACTGCTCTGTATGTCTACTTTTCAGAAGCTAATTTTGCAATCACAGAATTTCATTTCTCTTTACTTGTCTCCTATATTTCCCATTAACAAAATAATTTTAGATAGCCATACATGTAAGCATGCATGTTAGTGAAAAAACAGACAAAAATGATAGAGGTTGGCCATGCTGGCTGTGACCTGAACATGGATTAAATCTATAGAGAAGCTGATACAAAAGGAGAGCTAAAAAGCAGCATGAGTCTATCTCCTGATTCTCAGAAAACACTGCATGTGGACAGGCATTACATGGTGCAGAAGAAGGTGATCATTATTTTTGCCAAGCCTTGATATCAGGAGGAAGCTCCATATAACAATGGCATGGGAACAAATAGCATAAAGAGAAAATAACTGGTCTTGGAATCTAGACCTGGACATAAAAGAACTGCTGTGCCTCTTTAGTCCCTTAGAACCTCAGTCTCAGGTTCCTCTGTTGACAGCTCTGATGCACTATGTTAAACAGAAAGTATTGTTTTTTAAAGTACCATGATATGCTAAACAAGGTCATTGGATTTGACCATTAAAAATATTTTTAATGCATCACAGTTCCCTCATCTCCCCTTCCCTGGCTTTAAAATACCACCCCACTGAGACATTTTCTTCTTCTGCACCAGCGATCCTAGCCCACACAAGGTGCCCACCAGCTTATGCAGCACACTGATCAACAAGGAAGGAAAGGAAAAGCAACTGCAGAACTCTTCCCACTGTTTGCACCGGCTTTGCCTAATTACTATCATTAACTGAGATTTGCTTTATTAGAAGGTTTCAGCAAGATCTGCCCCCTTAGTACTGGCATTGCAAGAACACTCTAATTACTTCATCTCTAAGGTAAACAGACTTTGGGATTTTACCAATCAGAAGGAAAAAAAAAAGAATAAGTCCCCAAATTTTGAAGACAGACCAAAAATTACCAATATTTATTTTTTTCCAAAAGGTAAATTTAAAAAATTAATAACAACAATTATCAAGTACCATTATCTTTCTTACTTAAAGAAACAAATTATGATCTAAAAAATTAGTACAGACAAATTCAAGAACAAACAGTGCTTTCAACTGAATACATTTAGCTTCATTAAAAATTTGCTATCACACCTTATTTTTCTCATTTTACTCTAGACCAAGGAAGACTTCAGGACCAACACTAGTTAGCAACTGGGACTCAGCTCTCCACATGGAAGCAAAATATACATTTGGTTTTCCAAAGCATACAAACCCTGTACACCATTTTAAAAATCATGGATGAGTGTGGCAACCCAAGAAAATACTTATGGGATAAAAGCACACAAAATAAATGTAATCACACTGCATTCTGAACACTTGAGTTTTATTTTTTTAATCATTCACAGATGTAGGCTGGAGGAAAAATTCACAGAAAATAGAAACCTTTTTGTCAGTACTGCACAGTTGACTGTATTCTTTCTCTCACTTGCTGTTCCCACCCTCTCCCCACTTCTAAGGAGAAACTGAATATTAAGCGAGTTTTAGCACAGAAGCATTTTCTGTGATTGTCCCATTGCCATTAAGGTCGCTACGTCCATCAGGGGGCAGTAGCGAAAAATACAAGAGTGGAGAGGGAAGTGGTACTTACAGTCACCTGCGCACACAATCTGTAACAGAAAAAGAAAACGGAAATCAGCAGATTCATTCAACCCCGGAAAATGCAAATCAGAAATAAGGCGGTTGAGAATGTAGTAATGGGGATGGGGTGTTAAGCATGTGCAGCACAGACCAGATGGCTGGGGCTAGCTTATGGGGACACTGAGTATGGGAATTCAGTACGACCACAGGTTGGTTACAACAGTGGAGTAATGGGTTATATGGAGACCAACTGGCTGCTGCTACCCCGTGTTTTTCCTCACAGGCACATCCCAGACTGGGGCCGCTGCCCAGGCCAGCACTCCCCCCGACACTGCATCGCGAATTGAAGCAGAAGGATACAGAAGCAGAGTCAGCTCCTCCAGGTCAGAGAGAATGGAAGGCGGTCCACGAGGTCCCTGCCCCAGAGCTACTTCGAGGTCGCAACTGCAGAGTGGAAAGCCAGACGGGTGACAGAAGAATTCCATGCGGTTTGGGGTTCTTGTGCAAAAATTCACCTTTTCCTTCTATCACTACGTGGCAGTAATCTTTTTTTTTTTTTCTCTTAAATCATGGCACCCAGCTTTGGGAAGAATATTGGAAACAGACTATAAAGACTATTTAGTTGACAGCGACCTGACCTGCCAGCTTCAGATCCCTGGAGAGGCCTCAAAGGTATTCACCATGATCCATAAATACTTCTCCATACTCTAAAAGCTAAAATAAGTCAAGGGTGTGCATTCCCTTGTTTAATAAACACACCTTTTCGGTTAACAGTATTTTTCAAAGTATGGTCCTCCTGAAGAGGAAAATAATCCAAAGGAGCTCTAATAGAAAAATGTCCTCCAACTGCTCATCACTCTCAGAATAAAATTCAAACTCTTAACCACAACCTCTGCAGCCCCTCTGACGCTACTGCCTCATGCCCCTCGCAATGTTCTTGAAGCCGGCTCCTCCGGCTTTTTTCCCTTCTCCAGAAACACGCTGCCCAAGACCTTCCTGTGTCATGGCCTGAAATGCCACCTCTTCAGGGCGTCTGTTGGTAAAATTGTAACATTTCCAGAGTATCTCGCCTGGCTTTAGTTCATTTACATATCCTCAAGGGCAGAAAGCACTTGTCTCCATGTCACTGGGTAATACCTGGACAACCAAGGGCGTGTCTGAATGTGAGAGTTTAAGGGGAGGGGCTGGCAGGCTTGCTGGCTTGCTTCCTTCAGGAGCAGGGAAGAGAGATGGCCCTGGACTGCAGTTTGTAAGCAATAAATGAGTCTTAAACTTTATTTCTCCCTTTGACTGATTTCGGTTTTTAGAGGTATTTTGCCCCCAGGATTTCCTTTCCTCGGACTTACAGCGTCCTTCTCCAACCAACCAAAAGAAATGAGCGCCTCCCTTCACCCCCCATCACATCACTGGGGTATTTTCTCCTCAGTATTTACTTCAATTCTTGTCAGTCTCCTCCAACTAAAATGCGTACTCTACAAGAACAGAACCACATCTTTGCCCAGACCTAGAGTGGTGCGCAAAGCAGGCACTCCATAAACGCCACTGAAGAAAGGAAGGAGCCTCTTATTTGGGAGCAGAGGCAATCCCCACGGCCCAGAGAGGGAAAGATTTGCTCAAGTTCCCCCAGCAAGGCCAAGGCCAAGGGTGGTCAAGTCCATGAGCCTGATCATCTGGTGGATTTCTTCCACTTAACTCACCCTCTGCACTGACCAAATGGAGAAGACAGGCTAGCAGTCATTCTCATCTTGTGAATTTATACACATGCTGAAATGCCTGTTTCTAGCCCAGCTCCCTGTGGCTCAGGCACCTCAAAGGAATCCCAGTCCTCCTCCTCTCCACACAAGCCTGGGCCCCAGTCCTGTGGATTCTCCTTTCCACACCCGACTCACCATCAAGCCCTCACCAACTCAGGCCTAAAAGCTTTTTCAGCTCATCTTCCTTGCCCTCACTCTCTGCCATGCATCAGTCCACACAGTCCTTGACAGGCCCTAGGAGGAAAACCCGGAGTCAGCTGCCAGGCAAGCAGCACAGGGCAGCAAAGCATTTTTTTTTTTCTCAGTCACTGGAACTATAGTAGCTTAAACTACATAACCTCATGACTCTAGAGTGGCACATCCCAACCCCTTGTATTGTTCTTATCTCTTTGAATATGTATCTATGTGATAGATCCTCAACTGGAATCCATGCAGTCATCCATCCACCCAAATGTTGCCTAAAAACATTAAAAACTCTAGAGTGGCACATCCCAACCCCTTGTATTGTTCTTATCTCTTTGAATATGTATCTATGTGATAGATCCTCAACTGGAATCCATGCAGTCATCCATCCACCCAAATGTTGCCTAAAAACATTAAAAATCTGGGTCCTAAGCTCAAAAGTCAGGGAAATAAGAGATGTCTGTAAAAAGTAACTCCAGGTAGAAAGCACTGACACCTTGTTGAATAAGCAATTCCCGAGGTCCTACATGTGCTAGGCACTGTGCTAAAGCCCTAAGGCTAATGCAGACAGCCTCTGTATCCCAGGGGCCTCATGGTTAAGGGAGAAAGGAAGGCAGGTGGACCAAAGCACAGGACAGGTGAAGGACACCCTGGGGTTGGGGCTGTCACTGGGGGAGGTCAGACAAGGGTGTGCTTGAATTGAAGGCAAAGAGTATCTGCCCTTCACAGTCCTGGACTCAGGAAACGTTGACTGGCTGATGATCATTATGTGGGACAATTTGTCAAAGAGCTCCAAGTTCTAGTGATGAAAGTGCAAGGTAAAAAGGCAAGTTTCCAAAAATTAAAATCACAGCCTTGACTCTATTTTTGACCCAATACACACAGAGTGCTGACTCTACCAGGCACTGCCCCCAAGTACTTTCAAATATTAACTCAACCCTCCAAACACTCCCTGAACAGTAGGCAGAGGTCCTCTGTGTGCTGGTGAGCTGCAGTGCCTGGGGGCAAACCCAGGCAGCCTGACTCCAGAGGCCATGTCCTTAGCCACTAGATCACACCACCTCCCAGCATAAACCAACAGGCAAGACATTTACTGAGACTGGGCGGTGGTGGGGAGGACTAACTTCCAAAGTTATCATCAGTGTGCATTCTTCTCTCTACCCTCCAAAAAATCCAGCCTTGACAAATCTGGATATGATTTCTTCTGGCAACCTTCCCAAACAAGACCCTATGTACAATGCAAACACATGAGCCTGCATCTGTTTGCGGCTCATCATGAAACAAGAGCCAGGATGATTACACAGTGCATCACATGGCTTCACATTCATCCTGGCCTCACTCCCCCTATTTTCCCCTCATCTTGACCTCACTGGGCCTGTCTTCCCAAATACAGCATCGACACTTTTATCCTTGACACAGGACCCAGGGAACCCGAAGGACCCAGACTAACACATGGAAAAAGGGGACCTCAGAGAAGTCTGCAAAGGGGTTCCTGGGAAAGAAGTTTCCTCACTAATAACAAGGGATTACGTGGAAGGAAATAACACCCTGCTTTGCAAGCCTTCATTGGATCTGCCTATGATGCCTGGAGCTTCTACAGCCACGGTGTGACAGGGAGAAGAGAGATCACCCATCTGCTAAGGATGGCTGGTGAGGGGAAAGAGGGAAAAACACCTGGATCCTTGTGTTACTAAATCAACCAATCCTAGACTCTTCCTACTTCCAGATTTGCCTGGAGGGGATGCAACACCCATCACTTAAATACTTTTGTCTGAGTTTTCTAATATTTACAACCAAAAGAACACTAGTTGATACAATAACAACACAGCAAGGTAACTAATTTTCACTTTAACCCCCATTTTACAGATAAAGAAAGCAAAACGCCAGTGATCTGCTGCCCCGGGTGACAGAGCTGGTCAGTGAGAAGTAAAGCCAGCAAATGCACATCTGCCAGGCCCCCAAACCACAGGGAACAACATCCTGCAAGATAGCTGGCATGGTGTGCACTTTGTAAATGCTTTTTAAAAGAATACAATCGGCAGAAATCTCATCTTCCTAAATTTAGTTCAAAGCCTAATTGTGCCAAGGGGTGAAAAAGGAAGAAACCAGTTTCCACAGATTTATACACTGGGCATCAAAGTTAACTGCAGAAAAAGGAAGCTGGGGACAACTTCCCAGCAGGAACAGCTCAACAGGATGATGAGTTTAACCTCAGGACCTTCCCCTTCTAAGAAGACCCAGAAAGACAAGGGTAGTTGTTAATCCACAGAGGATTCCACAGAAATCATCCTGCACATGTCTGCTCTTCCACAACCGGCCCGTACCCAGTGGCTCCAAATCCTGGTAGGGAGAAAGGCAAGCTTCCACTTTATTTCATCTTCACAACAACCCTGTAAAATAGGAATTATAATCCCCATTGTACACATTGAGGACACTGGAGCACAGAATACAGGCCTGAGGTCACAGCTGAGGAGTTTGGGTAGTACAAACTTGCCTTGGGCACAAGAGGAGAGAGGAAAAGAGGGGCTTCAGGCTAGAAATAAAACCACCACTTTTCACTCTCTAAAACTCCCTCTGGGTAGAAATTAAACCCAATAAAGTACGCAGAGCCTAGCCCAGTGCCAGAGGCACATCAGGCTCCAAGTCTGTTCCCTTCTCCTCTGAGGCACCCACCTTCTCCCTTCTGGCTTCAGCAAACCAGTCAATAAGAGAGTATGAATGAGCCCACCCTGTGGCTCAGATTCAGAGGATGTCAGAAGTCACAGCTCCTGGACCCAAACTGAATCTGAGGGCAGTACTTCCGTAAAAGACAGGTGTGTCACAACAGCAGTATTCACTACTCACAACAGCCAAAAAGTGGAAACGACATCATTTCCATCTACTGCTGAATGGATACGCAAAATGTGAAAATCTCTATGATGGAATTTTATACATGCTACAATGCAGATGAACTGCAAAAACATTATAATGCATGAAAGAGGCCAAACACATAGAAGCCCAAATATTGTATGATTCCATTTATATGAAACATCCAGAACAGGGAAATCCATAGAAACAGAAAGCAGACTGACTGGCAGTTGTACGGGGCTAGG